CGAGGTAATGCAGATCACTGACTCGAGGTAATGCAGATCACTGACTCGAGGTAATGCAGATCACTGACTCGAGGTAATGCAGATCACTGACTCGAGGTAATGCAGATCACTGACTCGAGGTAATGCAGATCACTGACTCGAGGTAATGCAGATCACTGACTCGAGGTAATGCAGATCACTGACTCGAGGTAATGCAGATCACTGACTCGAGGTAATGCAGATCACTGACTCGAGGTAATGCAGATCACTGACTCGAGGTAATGCAGATCACTGACTCGAGGTAATGCAGATCACTGACTCGAGGTAATGCAGATCACTGACTCGAGGTAATGCAGATCACTGACTCGAGGTAATGCAGATCACTGACTCGAGGTAATGCAGATCACTGACTCGAGGTAATGCAGATCACTGACTCGAGGTAATGCAGATCACTGACTCGAGGTAATGCAGATCACTGACTCGAGGTAATGCAGATCACTGACTCGAGGTAATGCAGATCACTGACTCGAGGTAATGCAGATCACTGACTCGAGGTAATGCAGATCACTGACTCGAGGTAATGCAGATCACTGACTCGAGGTAATGCAGATCACTGACTCGAGGTAATGCAGATCACTGACTCGAGGTAATGCAGATCACTGACTCGAGGTAATGCAGATCACTGACTCGAGGTAATGCAGATCACTGACTCGAGGTAATGCAGATCACTGACTGTTGGCTGTAGGTAATGCAGATCATGTTTATTGGAGTTCTATAAATGAAACCTATTAAGTTTAGTCTTTCCGTTTATAGTAATACAACAAACAGTGTGGAAAATAAATAATCACTTGTCACATGTGTTTCCTGTCTAGGATTTCATATCCGCCAGCTTGTGCAGAGAAAGGTGCCTTGTCTGATGACAATGGCAGTTGTGTGTGGGCAGGGGAATTCCAGCACTTGATTCTCCTGCTAGATAAGAACATTCGGCCCATAAACAAGTTGAGCATTCACAGATAAACAAGCCACAAAGTGTTCCTTGGCTCTGTGCAATAGACTGATAGCTCCTGGCATTATGCCGTCACTTGGGTTCTACATTAGTCTGTATTGCTAGCATAGGATCCATGCAGGTCTCCAGCTATTGTACAGCTAATTGTGACAGCGTGATGTGATCTAATGTGACTAATCCGCTGTAGGAGACCTGAGGAGCCATTAGGAGAGTCAGTAGGAAGGTGCCCCATGATATTGGTGATCAGTAGGAGAGGTGCCCCATGATATTGGTGATCAGTAGGAGAGGTGCCCCATGATATTGGTGCTCAGTAGGAGAGGTGCCCCATGATATTGGTG